CGGGTCGCTCATTGCGGCCCGGCGCGGTTAATTCTCCCTTTCCCCTCCCCTCCTTCAGCCCCGCTCTGCTAGACTCGTTCGCGCCCCCCGCTCGCCCACAGCATGTTTCATTTTGGCGCCATAAACGTTGGCGACAGACTCGCGGGGGGCGGCAGGGCGTGGCGGCGCGGGGCGGGCATGGTGGAGGGTGCGCGGCAGGGGCGAGGGAGAGTGACCCGCAGAGTCGTGCATCGGACCCAACGTGTTCAAGGCGCCGTGAGTTGTCGCAGTTCAAGAAATAAATCCCACAATAAACAATTGGTTGGTTTAGACGAAGACGCCTACTGCAGCCCCGCCTCGACCGGAAACAGGGAGTGTTAATTTTGGCGACCGCAGCAATGATCGGCCTTCCCCCCCAGAGTTCGGCGGCCTGCTGGTCAACCAGCGTGGCACAGCTCTGGCGCTCTTCAACGTGGTCGGACCACTGTGCATTTAATAAGAAGTTTTCCGAGCGGACGAAACTAATGGACGCAACTTGGCCACCCTCCCCCCGGGGTCCCGGCCCGCCCCGATCCTCGCGCCGCCGCCCCCAAGGACCCCATGCCCCTCTTTCCGGGCCTTGCCCGCTCGCGGCGCGCGGTTTCTTCTGATAAAGCAAACTTGATTAGTGCCAGAGGAATGCTGCGGTATCGTCGCGCTGCCTTCCTCGCTCCCCCTTCCACCTTCTGTCCCCCTCTCTCGCTCTCTCATTCTCTCCCGCCCTCTCTCTCTCTCCCCCACACTGACTGCCCCAGGCTCGACCCGACAGCGGTAGTGTGGCGACTCGCCACTGCGAGCGCTGCCAGCCTCTTCAACCGCTTTTCAAAAGACGCGCGCTCGGCTCGCGGGAGTCTTATGAGACCGCGCGAGAGAGTAGGCCCCCTTTTGTCTTCCGCACTATTTTCTCTCCCCGCGGCGGGGGGCTGGCCGCCCCGCCCCGCCCAGAGCCCTTCTTCATATATGCCGCCAGAACATTAAAACTGTCGCCGCCACAGCCGACCGTTATTGTGCGCAGGGGAGGGGGTGGGGAAAGCGGGGCTCTTCCAGGATTCCGCAAACTGCACACACACACACACACACACACACATACACACACTCACACACATACACATGCACACGCGGACACACGTACTCGCACGCACGCTCACGCACACACACACTTACATACACACACGCACACACCCTCATCTTTTTCACTTTCCTCCTCCGCAGGGGAGGACGAGCAGCAGCACCACAGAGGGGAGGGGAGATGAGTGTCCGAGCGCGCCGGCCCACTCCTTTCCTTAATGAACAACTAAGAAAGCTTGCGATATATCGCCCTCCACCCCCTCCCCCTTCCCCCCATACCCTCGCTGCTCTTCCTTGGGCCAGCGAGGCCTTGGACCCTCGTGTAGGGGCTCGCCCCGGCTCGCCTGTGTTTTCTCCCAAGAAATTAAAACAACCTTTCCACCCTCCCTTTCCTTAGCACCCCACCCCACCCTGCCCCCATCCACGCCCAACGCCCACCTTACCGCCTTCTCTCTCTCTCTACCTCTTTCTTTCTCAACCCCCTTCTCTCTCTCTTTCTCTGTCCCTCTCTCCATTCCCACCACTGAACTATCTCTCTCCTCCCCTTTCTCGGAGTGGACGTCCCTTGGTCGGGCGCGGACGCACGGATAGACCGGCGGGCAGACTTGAATTAGTGGAAACGCGAGATAAGACCGTGGGGTGTGCTGAGTGAAGGGAGAGCGGCTGGTGGTCACGGTTTAAGCAAAGGTTGCATCGCGTCGCCCTCACAGTGGCCGATGCCACCTGTCACCTTTCTTCCCCGAATGGGAGTACGACTGTGCGGTGCACGCAGTCAAACCAAGTCAGTCGCCTCACCATTAGTTTTAGTTAGTTTGTACTTAAAAAGGATAATGCAATTCATGAGCCCGATAAAAAACAAATAGTTCCCATGCCAAAAGTCCCATGCATGGGATTCCATGGGAGCTGCTCCCACAGGGAAATTCATCCCATGAGATTTTTGGTCGCGTTTCCCATAGTGTTCTTGGTCTAACCGTGGTGAAAGAATGGGTTATTGAGGGGTCAGTGTGTCCCAAGGTGTTGAGTGCTTTACTTCCCATGCAAGCCTCATCGTCGAAAATAAGGAATGTTCAAGGGGTGTCTGAAGTCTGAATCGAGGTGGAGCCAAATCTGCGGTCTATTTTAGCCTAACTGCATCCGTTGAAAAAATAGCAGATAAAAGTAGACAGATTTTAACAATATCAAAATAGCCCTACTAAAACACGTCGTAGATGATACACTGTACACTCTAAATGTCAAGGGACAATTTTGTCCGTAGATTTGCAACGATTTCGTGCACATCCAGAAAGGATGCAATTTTGTTCCCTTAATTGGACAAATTGTGTGAAGTTTCACACAATTTGTCTAGTTTTAGGAACAAAATTGCATCCTTTCTGGATGTGCACGAAATCGTTGCAAATCTACGGACAAAATTGTCCCTTGACATTTAGAGTGTAAATTTCAGGTCGATACAGAAAGAAATTAGGATTTTATAGCGTATGAATCTTCATAGGAAGTGGGATTTCCCATGGGAGGAGGGCAGATAAGTCCCATAGGAAGATAGTGGGACCAGTTTTCCCATGAGCACCGGGTGTAACTGTGAATACGCAGCAGTGTTGCGAGTTCACATGCTCAATATGGCCGCAGAGACTATGTATGGCCCCTTACGGGTGTAAAAAGTGGGCAAACCCGCAACACATTCACAGTTACGCGCTACTGTGTTACCAAGGTGCTGGGAGGACTCACCATGAGAAATGCTGGAGCTCACATGGGGTAATACGGAATTTCCTTGGGAAACCTTCCAAAACTCATGAGACTTTGCCCAATGGGACGGTTATGGAAATTTTGGCTTGGGATTTACTGATAATGACTATGGTTGGCCTATGGTTGCCCATGGGAGACCTCTGCCCATGGGAATACCCATGGGAATTTTACCCCGGGAACCGTTTTCAAAATAAATGACCATACTACAAGTGGTCTTCTTGGGGCCATACTACAAGTTATACATTTAGAGTTCAAATCCACATAGGTTTGGTTGCCTTGGATCTCAACAGGTCAAGTTACAATCAGCGGAATGCCCTAAAACCAGAACATTCACGCAAACTTTTTTAATTTCGGAAGTTGTCGAAAAATGTGTGTGTGGCTCTCTCTTGTCTGATCCTTCTCAGGACGACAGTCACAACATCGATAACAATTCGGTGGTTCATAATTCTACTCGATAACAAAAACGCCGGGCTCGCATATGGCAGAGACTCGGGGCATGGATAGAGACACCTGCAGGGCGGGGCGGGGCAGGGCGGGCAGGGCGGGGCGTGTGGACACGCGGCCCTGTGACATGAGCCCGACACGAGCCCAGCCCCGCCGCGCCGCGAGCCTCACGCGAACGTGTACGGGTCGCTATTAAATATTATCGCCATTCGGATCGGCCTGTGTTTCACGCCCCTGGCCCCGCCGCGGCCTTGCTGCGCTCCCGCGCCGTCCCGCCGAGTTTCCGTCCCGCAGCGTTTGTCGAAGCGCGGCGCTGATTCAGGTGCCGTCACGAAGCGACAACCTCCATCCTCGTGCCCCCCCCCCCCCCTCCTCCTCTCCCCCTCTTCGCACAACCTCGCCACGCCGCCGCTGAGCGTGGCCTGTGGTGCGCCCGAGCGCCTGCAGCCAGCGGGGATAGGCAGCGTGCCCCACACGGCTGTGGCCAGGCCGGGCAGCGGCCTACCTCCCAGGCGCGCAGGCCGGGCTAGCCTGACGCTGCAGCCGCGCTGGAGCCGCGCTGGAGCTGAAGAGTCGAGGTGGCTGCCGGCCGGCCAGGGCTGCGACGAGACGTGGGCCACTAAATTTTTGGAAAGTCTGACACTGACTGTGAAGTCGACTTCTCTACCAGAAGGAGGAACCGTGTCCTTCAGCTTCTCGCTCCTCCTTTAGAACTGGGCCGCACGGAAGCAGGGGCCCGTTTGGTGTACATGGAATATCTAGAATACTTTTGGAACACTATCTGGTTGCGATATGAACCCACTGCAACAATGCTGCACTTAACTAGAATTTGTTTTGATTTCTACACAAAAAAAATGATTTGTGAGTCCCACTGGGTTCTGACACAAACGGTTGGTCGTTGTAAGTACATTCCAATGTCGTTTTCGTCGCGTCCATCAGATACATTTCGAGCAATAAACGATAGCGCGGAGGAAGGAAATTTGTGAGCCACCTGGAAAGTAGTTTTGTAGCACAAATTGCATACTTCCCAGGCGGCTCACAAGAGACGATCGGGGTGTCTGCCAAACCGCACCTGGAAGAAACGTAGGCCGGGTGTGGCATGAGGCTGGGCAGGGGGTGGTGGGGGAGAGTTGAGCGGTGATTTAGTTTCGGGATCACACACACAACATGTAATGACTGCAGTACGTTCTCATACGCGTCGCGACGCTGCGGCCTCTGGAAGTATATTTCGCAGACAGTTCCCCGACGCACGTCGGCGAGGGAGAAAGAGGGGCGGTGGGAGCTTAAAGACGGACGGTATTTAACTGTGGCGGGCGCATTCCGTGCGGCAGGTCAAAGAGACCCCCCCTCCCTCCCCAGGAGTGTAAACATCCCCCTCTCACCATCGGGAGCAGAGAGCGGGAGGGGGAGGGGAGAGAGAGAGAGGAGAGAGGATATGCGCGTTGGAGGGGAGTGACTGAATCCAGAAATAAGACATTTCAGTCCGCGTGTGAGTCTGTTCGGCTCGCCGACGGCGGGAAGCGAAGACCCCTTCGGCGTCGAAACGGCGGCGCGCGGCGTGGCGGGGCGGCGCTGGGGG